ATATCCTTTGGTTGGTTGATGATGCATGGAGGGGATTGTAACCATGGCAATGAAATGATATACGATAGGATGAATGTAAAACTAATACTCTCCCATGTAAACTATCACATAATTCACAATAAAACATTTAAAAAAAAAAAAAAGAAGAAGAAGAGGCTGCGAGATGTCACTCACTGTGCCCAAGACAGTGTCACTGTGGCTGAAACTCTGGCAGTTGCCAGAACTCCACAGCCCCTTGCCCCATAGTCTGAGGGCCAGGGATCTCACCCTCTGCTCTGTCAAAAACATGGCTGGTCATGCAGAGGAGAAGGGGAAGAAGAGAAAACTACCATTTATCTGACTTCTGTGGTATAGCAGGAACCAAGCCTTATATTATCCTCCCAATGGCCCTATATAGGATGTATAATTGTTCCCATTTTATAGAGAAGGAGACAGTAAAGTCACCAGTCCATAACCCTAACTCTGACCCTAATCCTGATGCTAACCCTAGGTTAGAACCTAGCCCTTACTCTAACACTAACCCCAAACTAACCAGAATCCTAGCCCTAGTACTACCCTAGCCTTAACCTTAACTGCAATACTATCCTTAGTCCTAACCCTAGCCCTAGATCTAACCCTAACCCTAACCTTATAACTTAATCCTAGTCCTAGCCCTAGAGTCCTGGTATGGCGCTGTAGGATAAGCACTGGACTATAAGGTTGGTTTGAACTGGAAAGTCAACAGTTCAAACTTACCAGCTACTCCTCGGAAACCCTATACAGGGTTGCTATGAGTTGGAACCTATTTGACAGCATTTAGCAACAACCATAATCCTAAAGTTAACCATGGTTATTCCTAAACCTAACCTTGTTGTTGTTGTTAGGTGCCGTTGCGTCAATTCTGATTCATATCAACCCTACGCATAATAGAATAAACTACTTCTTCACAATTGTTAGACTTCAGCCCATTGCTGCTGCCACTGTGCCAATCTCTTTGGGGGGTCTCCTTAGTTTTCACTGATCTTCCCACTTTACCAAGTAGGATGTCCTTTTACAGGGACTGGTCCCTCCTGATAATATATCCGAAGTCTCACCATCCTGACTTCTAGGAGCATTCTGGTTGCACTCTTTCCTACACAGATTTATTTGTTTTTCTGGCAGCCCATGGTATTTTAAATATTCTTCTTCAACACCACAGCTCAAAGGCATCAATTCTTCTATGGTCTTAATCTTAACCTAACCCAACCCTAGCCCTAATCCAAGGAAACTTCGGGGTTTTTGCTGGGTTCTGACAGGAGATTTCATTTGGAATTGGAAACGCAATTCCCGTGATGAAAGTCTGAGCCCGGCTAGCTCAGGCAGAATGGGGCTCAGGGAAGGTCAGGAGTGCCCATGGTGTCGTAGCCACACCAAGAAGAAGCACTTTGTCTTGAGGCACCTACCCCTCATCCCATCAAGGGTTTGGACTGCTAGGGCTGGAACCATTTTGATTTAGAGTCCAAGTTTTGTCCACTGAGAGGCCATGACCACCTAGAACGGATGGAAGACAAAGACCCCACATATACTGGGGACCTGCACAGATTCATGGGTATTTGAGGATACATAAGCACTGGACCACAAGGTTGGATTGAACCACAAGGTTGACGGTTCAAACTCACCAGCCGCTCTCTGGAAACCCTACAAAGGGTTGCCATGAGTTAGAACTGACCCGATGGCACTTAACTATGACAACAGCACACACACACACGTACTGGTGGAGAGTTTCAGAGTGCAAGTTACTTCCAACACATAGATTAAGAGCTCTTGCTATAGAGATTGTTAATTTCCTTTGGCAGATGAGAAAATGGAATCCCAAGGGCAATGACTTTTTCCACAGCTTTCCCAGAGACTGAAAGGCTAGGCCAAAGGTGTTCTTTCCTAAGAAGTTGTTTAAGTCCCGGAGAGTCTGTCTGTGAGGGTGACACTCTAATCAAACCTCCCATGTGACTCAGACTGCTATAGGACACTGTGCACACATGCCAGGGGCCACGGTGGCATCTGGGAGCACCAAAGCTGATATGAAAGCGCAGTCTGGGGAAGAGCTGCCACCTGGGAGTGTGAAACGGACCCACTGTACACGCACACCGGCCATGAGTGGAGGGGATAGCTGAGCAACAGAGCCTAACTCTCAGATGGCCTGACGGGGCCAGAGAGGGTTCCCCAGAGTCCTCATTCCCAAGCACAATCAGGTGTCCACTGGCCCCGTGGGCTTGCTGCCCACCCCTAGGAGATGACTCCACCCAGGGACGCATAGAACCTCTTAACATCAAATCCCCACTGCACAGACAGGGAAGCTGAGGTGCAGAGATGGGCAGGAGCCAATCTCAAATCACACGGTGGGGCCAGGCACCTCGAGGTCTCCACCCACTAAATGGGAAATAGCCAACTTGCCCAAATTGAAGAATTCACCATGAAAACATAAAGCCCTTCAAGGGGATGGTGGTGGTGGTGGTGGCAGAAGTCAGGTGATAAAACATGCTTGGATCTAGAGGGAAATTCTGAGGTCCCTGACCAACACCCAGAATCAAAGCTAGCTATTGTGCTGGCTAGGTCCCTAATCCAGAATTCTCCATTAGAAACTAAGAGCTGGGCTTCAGCCCATCAGGCTATTCCCATGTGGTCAGAAAGACACACACACACACATTGAACAGACAGGAAGACTGAGGCTTAGCTAGGACTTGCTCAAAGCCACTGTGCACAAATCAGGGGCTAGGCTGGGGCGAGAGCCCGAGCCTGTGTCCTGGTTCTTCCCAAGAGTTCTTGCCCATCACTCCCCCCAACCCACCAGAGAGCATTCTTCATCAAGAAAACTACCCCACAGCCAGCTCCCTGGTGCCCACTTGTGTCACGCTTCACCACCACAAGGCCCCTCCCTGTCCTCCTCCCTCTTACCTCCCCCACCCCCTCACCCTCACCTGCCTCTGAAGGTGGGAAGAAGAGGATGTGAGAAGCAACCAGAGAAGCAGTGACCAGGTGCCCTCAGGGCCTGGCTCCCAGTAGCCCAGAGAAGGGAACAGGCCTGCAGCATTTCCCCTTTCCTGGGGGGTGGGGGTGGGGCCCAGGTCTGTCCCATAGTGGCTGCCTACAAGCTGCCCTTCCCTCAGGGAAAGTGCAGCCAGCAACAGACCCAAAACCAGAAATGCAAGTCAGCCTACCTCTGCCAACCCTACCCCAAACCCCCGCCAAACCAAACAAAGCCAGGAGGGGAAGTGCCACTCTGGCAGGGGTGCTGGCCCCAAAGGGCCCCGCCCCAGGCAGGAGGCTGAAGGGTTCTCAGAGGCCAGACAGTGTCACTTTTTAGCTGTGTAACTCTGGCCAAGACTCTCAACCTCTCAGAGTCTGGTTTCTCCTGTGGGCCTGAACTGGGCTATTGGTCAGGCCCTTCATAGTGCCTGGCTCAGGAGAAGCATTTGATAAACTGGGAGTCCTGGTGTGGCGCTGTGGGATAATGCATTGGACTGCAAGGTTGGCAGTTCAAACTCAGCAGCCTCTCCTCAGAAATCATATACAGGGTCACTATGAGTTAGAACCAACTCGATGGCACTCAACAACAACAACGGTTCAAACCCACCAGTCAGTCACTCCTCGGAAACCCTATGAATCAGAACCAACTTGATGGCACTTAACAACAACATCACCTGTTTAAAAGGAGCTATGGTTTTGGATGCTAACCAAAAGGTTAGCAGTTGGAACCCACCAACCACTCCACAGAAGAAAGATGTAGCAGTCCACGAGGATTTACAGTCTTGGAAACACCATGGAGCAGGTCTATCTGCCTTGTTGTTGTTCAGTGCGTTGAGTCAGTTCCGACTCATAGCAATCCTGTATAGGGTTTCCAAGGAGCGACTGATGAGTTTGAACCACCGACCTTGCAGTTCAAACCAACCTTAAGGTCGCGTGATTATCCAACAGTGCCACACAGGGTTGGAATCAGCTTGAGGGTAATGAGTGTTAGTGGTGGATTATTAGTTTAAGGAGCCCTGGTGTCGGAAATGATTAAGCCCATGGCTACTAACTAAAGATTGTCAGGCTGAATCCACTCAGTAGCTCCACAGAAGAAAGACCTGGCAACCTGCCGGCCTGCTTCTGTAGAGATCACAGCCAAGAAAACCCAAAGGGCACTTCTACTCTGTCACATGGGTCACCATGAGTGGGAATCAACAGGGCAGCATCTAACCAAAACATTATTAGTTTCGTCATATTT